TTTTTTTTTTTTACTCGTGGGGGGGAGGCGACCCCACCCACCCTATATCAATCAATCAATCAATCAATTGGTTGATCACTCAATCACTCAATCAATCAATCATTCAATCAATCAATCAATCAATCAACCAATCAATCAATGAATCAATTCTTTTTTTTATCCCCGGGACCAAAACAAAAAATCTTTTTTTTTTTTTTTTTTTTTTGAATGGGGGGGGTACCCCTTGACAACCGACCCCGCGCCAGCCCATCCACCCCCTCAACATCCCCGCGGAAGGCCACGCACGGAGGACCCAAAGTCCGTACGTACAGGCCGTATGGGCGCCGGGGGGCCCATTGTCGACCGGTAGAAAGGGGTCTGTCGGCACGCCGTCCGAACCCTAAGTCTCGCGCTGCGTCTGTCACCCGCGGGAGGGTCGGCCGGGGCTCCTGTAACCTGCACAAAACTCGTCAGTCCACACCCACGAAAACAAAGACCGTAGCAGACCGAGACCAATGCAAGGCGAAACTGATGAAGCATTATCTGGAAGAAATAAAAGAAGCAGTTCCATTCAGTCCAAAACGATAGGCTGTGAAACACTGGTTCCGGCCTCAGCCGTGCATCCCCCCCTTATGTCTGAAAAATCCGTCTGAGTCCCCACAGATCAAGTCATCAGACGGCGCCTTATCCTTCCCTGGATTGGATGGCGCCTGTACCGCGCCCGTCGATCCCAAGGAATCGTGCTCGAACTCTCGATGTCAGATGTAGCCTCCCTTGCCCATCGGGGCCAAAACTCCAGATCTACTGTGACCATACCTCAGCGAGGTCGCTCCTTTTAGGGTACGACACTCCGGGCGGCTAAGTTCAGGCGTATCTCATCGGAAAAGTTCAGTTCGGATGTACCTCTTCCGAAAGGCCTGGTTCATATGTACCTCTTCGGAGAGCCCGCTTCACCAAAGTACCCGCTTGAAAGGCCACCTTCAGTCGCACCTCTTCGGAAGAGCTCAGTTCAGATGTGCCTCTTCGGAAAGGCTCGGTTCAAAACGTACCTCTTCGGAGAACCCGCTTCACGAAAAGTACCCGCTCGAGAAGCCCCCTTCAGTCGTACCTCTTCGCAAGAGCTCGCTCCACCAAAAGTATCCCTTCGGGATAGTGTCCCTTCGGGATA